AATTTTATTACTACTAGGTGGAGGCGTTCTTCATAATTTAATCAGGATTTTAGTAATTTACCCAAAAAAATATAGGGTCTTAAGATATGAGTCCCTTGTGACAAACTGTATTAGAACTAAATGACAAGTCTAATCAAAATTTGCTTCACATCCTTTATTAAATTTATTCCAAAAATGTCCCGCTACCTCACAAATTCAAATTACAGCAGATTGTAAATATACTATGATGAACTATGATATTATTTAACATTTTTAAGTTTGCATCTACCATTTTTTTTTACGTGGAACAAATTTTTTTTTCCTTCATATTTTTCCATTATATAAAAATCTATTTTTCCCCTTCTTTTCTACATAAAATTAAAAATTATGATTTCTTTTTTCTTTTTTTTTTCTTTTTTTTTTTCATTTTTCGTATTTTTTCATTATATAAAAAATTATGTTTTTCCCCTTCTATTTTAAATAAATTGAAAATTATGATTTAAAAAAAAAAATTCCGTAGACATCTACAGAAACCCGTAGGGACCGTAGTAATCCGTAGTAACCCACAGACATCTTGAAACCCTAACTCCTCCTTTCAACCCTAACAGTCAGACACCCATAGTCATCTGTAGACATCCAAATCGAAAAATCTTAAATTTGCCCCACCAAACCCTAAATCCGATCCACTGCCACAACCACCACCGCCACTATTCCCCCTCTCCATCCCCCACACCTAGGGGTGTAAACGAGCCGAGCTCGCCTCTTTTGGCTGGCTCGAGCTCGAGCTCGAGTTTATTTTGTCGAGCTCGAGCTCGAGCTCGAGCTCGCGAGCTCCTCTTTTTTTGGCTCGAGCTCGAGCTCGTGTCAGTTGTGTCGAGCTCGAGCTCGAGCCCATTGACTTTCTTTTTTTACTAAAATTTAAAAATTTTTTTAATTATAATATAATTAATAAAATAAGTTCAAGAAATAAAAAATAAAAGCTAAATTGTAACTATCTAGAGTTTCAAGATCTGAACCTATATCCACAGTATTTGACATTAATGAGATAAAGATAACACTGACTAGAGAAAAAAAAGAATCAAATATTTCATATCAACTCTCGTACCGCGAGCCGTATCGCGAGTTCCTGAACAATTGATAGCAAGGTAGAGCTCGGTTCATCAGATACCTCAAGCTCAA